TCCTTGTCCAATTTGTTTTGGTGGAAGGATAAAGTTCAGGGCGGAAGGGTTAGCGTGTCGCTGGTGATGCGCCAGACAACTCACCACCGCTCCGACTCCCTTCCTGCCTTAGGGACCATCTTACCTCGCACCCCCTGGGACACCTCAGGGTGCTGAAGACGGTAAGGCCCTCAGACCGTTTTTTGCGCTCGCTAAAGGTTTGCCCCCTTTAGCGTGCACTTTAGCCGACGCCTGAGCGTCGAGAGCGACCCCATGGCTTAAACGAGCCACTCGGGTATGGGCACTACATGGTGCGCCGACATCACGATTGCTTACACAAATCCGTATTGTTGGTCGGTATGCGAAAGTCCAGTGTTCGCGTGGCCTTATGTTAACCCGCGCGCGTGACACTTACCGATTTCCGCATCTGAAAGTTATGGGTCAAGCAAAAAGGGCAAAGGCGCATTATGGCTAGTATGCCCGAGTTTCGATAGCGTGAAACGGCGCGTGGGCGAGATATCAATCCCAGTCGACGTATGGGGGTTCTCGTACGAGCCTCCAACGCCTCGAACAACGGGTTGCCTATGGGTCCGGCTTTGGGCACCATCCGCACGCATCTCGCGGGTTGGCCTACACCTTCTTCTTGAGACTACTATCAGACTATGAGCTAGACAGAGAGATGAAATAGGGCGATCCTCCCTTTCTATCTGCAGTTGTTTCCTCTTTTAAATTTTCTTGGTTGAACGTTGTAGTCCATAATAGCCGCCAAAGTCAAACCCCTTGATTTTGGCTACCACGACAACTCTGAAGTTGTCTACTCAACCCCTCTGCATAGGGTGCAGAAGAGGGTGTGGTCTTCAACCGCACATGGCGGTTGTCTGGCGTCGAGAGATTACCCCTCAAAGCGCCTGTCAGCCGATACTTGAGTGTCGAACGCGACCCTCGAGATTATCAAGGGCCGCAAGGCTACGAGTACCACATAGTACCCCATCAGCGCAAATGTTTGCGAATGTCCACACGGCTGTCGATATGAGGAGGTCATGAGCACGCACGACTCTTATGCAAAAGTTCAGCGCGCGATGCCTACCTGATTCTCGCAGCATGAAGTTATAGGTTGGATACTGAAGGGACTAGGAGTGTTGTGATGTTATGTTTGTTTTGTGTTTTTCCATGTGTTATGTGTGGGTAGATGTGAGTGTTGTGGTGTAACGCGTGGTGTGTGTGATGCGTCCTAGTCGACCGGCGCCGAGTCGCGTTTGGGACCTCAACCCCCCAGTACGTCGATTGGTGTGCGGGTTCGATATTTCGGGTGTTCAACCGCGCGTAACCCCCTATGCTACAGCGAACAAGAAACGCCCTCGGCTGGGCCACCTCTGCAATTGCATACGAAAAGTTTTCGCATGTGGTTCGGTAGCTCGGCAGGGACACGCCCACCTAAGGGATAGAGACAGCTCCCTCAGGTGGAGGTAAAGCGGTGCCTCGCGTGACTCTGTCCTGTCACAGGGACTCGCGAGAGGTACGGCTGGCGCACTCGGCCGGAGCGGCACCTCGCTCTCCTCGATGGAAGTCCTGCCAAATCCTGCGTGACGCGGTCGGGAGGGTCCCCTTGCGAGACCGATGCGCTCGACAACTTGCTATAGTTACAGGAGTTAGACTCAATTTCTGCATTTCTTGTGATAAGCTTTTTTTACTTTGTTCGATTTTTACATTTATCTAAAGTATTTTCTCATACTTGGCTTTGTATAAATCTTGGTAAGCTACTTTCCCTACGGGAAGCGCTGCCGAAATTTCTGCAAATCAAAGAGTTAGTCAAATTTCTGACTTTTCAAAGTTCAACTTGTCTAAGATTCGTATATGACTTAGTAAAAATCTGGAAACTCTCATTTTCTAAAGAGAGTGCTGCCCAAATTTTTGTTAATTCAGGGAGTTAGACAAAAATTGGAGTTTGGAAAGTCAAAGACCATTTTTGGTTTCATATTCGGACTGATATAAATTCTAGAAAGACACTTTTCCTACAGGAATCGCTGTTGAAATTTTTTTAGTTTAAAGGAGATAGATTATATTTTGACAGGTGGCGATTCTGGCGATCCACCCTGAATAGAGGATATTCTGCCATTAGTCTACCTTTGCTTTGGGCACTGGCTTAGAGGTAGACTTAGACTTGGTTGGCAGATAGTCGTGAGTGAGAATGTGTTTTGGAGTTCTATTCTCCAAGGGGTTATAGATTTTAGCTTGGGCATTGGCCTGTCTTATGGTACAGGTCTTTCTTGAACGCTCGATTCAGGACTTGGACTAGCTTCAGCTCGATCCTACAAGGATCATCTTCTGTTATCACTGATAACAGGTCGGTTGCCGATTCGTCGGTTTACGATTCAACTCCAATTCACTCCTGTCACTCAACCTAAAGGCTTTAGCCTTGTGATTGAACTGTTTTGTTGTGTTTTCACCCGGACTTTATTGAATGGTCATCCAACAAAAGTACTGAGTATTTATTTAAGAGTTGCACGAGTGAGGCTTGTATGGCTAAAGCGAGGGGTATGAGTGCTAGGAATGGTTGAAGTTG